ATCCGACTTCCTCCGTACCGTACTAGTTACGCAGATAAGAGATTTCTGCGTGAGAAAACGGCGGAAATGCAGGCTGACGGAATAATTGAACCCACAGCGAGTGCTTGGGGGTTTCCGATCTGTCTGATACCGAAGAAAATGACAACTGAAAAAAGTCACAGTTGATTTCAGAAAGTTGAACAATTGTCTCGAAGGTTCCAGTTACCCGATGCCTAGGATCGATGATATCCTAAGCAGACTGGGAACTGCGAAGTACTTCTCGAAGATAGATCTGAAAGCAGGCTTTTGGCAGATTCGATTAAAAGAGTCTGATAAACATAAAGCCACAATGATTGGGGAAGAATGTGCTTACCAATTCAAAGTTTTGCCTTTCGGAATTAAAGATGGTCCAACTGCCTTTCAGAGGGCTATGGACATGACGCTGAGAAACCTAAAAGGCGTCATCGCATTCGTTTTCGTCGACGACATAATTGTGTTCTCTCTCACTAAAGAACAGCATCAGAAGGACTTGGACGAAGTGTTCGCCCGCCTTGGTGCGGCAGGTTGGACAATTAACTTGGAGAAATGTGAGTTCTTCCAAGAGTCGCTTACCTTTCTGGGACATGTTGTGGATGCAGAAGGAATCCACACAGATCCAGACAAGGTAAAGGCTGTAATGAATTTTGGTCCATTTCGAAATGTCAAGGACATCCAGCGCTTCAATGGGATGGCTGGATTCTATCGGAGATTCATTGAGAATTATGCAGCACGGGCCGAACCTTACACTCGTCTGATTAGAACGAATGTACCATGGAAATGGGGCCCAGAGCAGGAGGCTGCAGTGCAGGATATCAAAAACGCATTGTGTAATGCTCCAGTGCTGGCCAGATATGATCCCGAAGCCCCGATTCAGCTGTATATCGATGCTTCAGGTGTTGCAGTAGGTGCTGTAATGAAGCAGTTGATTGGCAGTGATTGGAAGCCAATTGAGTACATGAGTACTCAATTAAAACCAATCCAAAAGCAAAATTATTACCCGACAGAACTAGAGTGCTTTGCTCTGGTTTCAGCTCTCAAAAAGTGGAGACATTACCTGTCAGGGCATAAGTTCGAAGTTTACACCGATCACTCAGCACTTCAGTACATGAAGAGTATGAAGGATGCTGGAGGCAGATTGGGAAGATGGGCGATCAAGTGTCAGGAATACGACATGATCCAGAAGTACATTAAGGGAAAGGAAAACGTTGTGGCAGATGCCTTGTCAAGGAATGAAGGCATCGTACCTAATGAGCCCGATTCAGCAGCTTCTTGCGATATTCCAGATTATCTGCCAAACTGGAATAATCAGCAAGTCAGGCAGTGTAAACATATGGTGGTAAATCAGATCGAGCTGTATCAGCATATGAATATGCTGAATCACGAAGCTCTTGGGATGAAGAAAACTGAACAATTCGAATTTTTTAAACCAGATCAAGCGAAATTCTGGATTGAACAGCAGGAGAAGGATGAACAGATTCAGAACTGGATTAAACTTCTGAATGATCCGACTCAAACGATGACTAATCGTGAACGAAAAACATTGAAGAGTCTTGTGTTACGTGATGGTGTACTGTATTACCGCCGTGTTCACAACGACGGTTACGTATACTTGTTCTATGTGCCCACCCAGTGGCGGTTGCAAATGGCACATGAGAATCACGATGTGCCCTATGCCGCACATCTGGGCCTCGACGCAATGTACGCAAAAATGGCAAATTCCTTGTATTGGCCAAAAATGCGCGAATTTGTGGTCAAGTACTGTCGTACTTGCGACGCGTGCCAACGAGGGAACCCGCTGAACAGAGCACCAGCAGGGTTTGAACAGACGGTTCCTTTAATAATCATGCGCTGGGGAAGTGCTAATTCATTGTTGCGCTTGTTGTTTAACTAACAACGAGAAATGTTAGTTCAATTTTGTGCATTTTGTTCGGGTCTGTGTTTGCGCTTACTGGTTGAATTAACCAAGAAATGTTGATCAATAAAAGTTGACCGTGAATAAGGTTGGTTGTGTCGATATGTATGTAGAAAGTTGAACATGCATAACCAAAATCAAAAATACCGGAAATATTATGTGCAGTAGTGCTACACATACAGTACGGTATGAAAGAAAGAAATGCAAATGTCATTCACGAAAAGAAAAGTATTCGTGAAAATAAAGCAGTTGAAAAAACCATTATGAGTACAGTAACTATTGTACATCGGAAAGATGTGCAATAAGTTGTACGAGTAAAGGAGAAATGGCACCAGTAATTACGGCACAAAGCGTATGAGTCATATGCTGAGCCATGCTTAAGCACGTGGAGTGAAAAAACTCAACCTTTTGCACGCGGAACTTCAGTTTCAGAGTTTGTCAGTGCGAAGAACTTTGGTTTCTCAGTTTAAAGTTAACTTCGAAAGTTTTCGAGTGTTTCTGAAATTTCGATATTTGGAGCTGAACGATCTTAGAAATAGTGTTTCTAAGATCACAAGTGCCTGAATTTCGTCTCAGTGAGTGGTGAAGTTGTGGTAACAATCTGGATTCTCGTAAGATGTTACGAACCAGATTTGGCCGAGTTCCTCAGCAGGTGCTGGTTCCGATTTCGGAGAATATGGACGATGAGGATGGCTACTATCAGAGCAGCGAACAGTATCGCACTGGAGTCTTCTGATCCACAGCAGTTAGTGGCAGCTACGAAAAAGGATGTTTCCATGAGCACCAACGCCTTGATGACGGCACACTTTTTCAAGGATCCCTCAGTTCTGACGGGCCTTGAGGAGCAGCACCTGAAAGATGGAGGGATGGTGGCAATCCTGGAACAGCTGCCTTACCCGTCAATCGGCGAGAATGACGATTTTGTAACAGCTGTCCCTGCAGTAATGGCTGTTTTGCGTGAACTCCGGCAAGTGTCGACTGACAAGGACTTCAATGTCCTTGCCATGAATCATCTGCAAAAATCGGCCTGGGAAGATTTCTTCACGATGCTGAAGGAATTGTCGAAATATGTGGATGAAGTGAATCCCACGTATTCAACTTCCTACGAGCAATGGAAGCAGCATAATCAATACGATACGGATCCGTACTTGGATGTGAACTGTGACGACATCGCGCTGGACAAACTGCTCAGCTTTCAAAAAGCGGTTCATCGGATGGTGCGCTATAGACGTGTGGCGGCAGGACATGGTCGATCTCTGACGTCGACCATTATCGCTGCGTCACTGCAGAAGATGGCAGGACTTGTGGAGTTTGTGGTCGATTATATGGACCTTATGGATAAGGTGCCATACCTGATTCCCTACCACTTTGATCAAGTCGCGTTCAACCCGCGTTCAACGGCTCGTCTGATCCCGCAGGAAATTGTAGAGAGGGAAGCGGAGCCAGGTGGATACGCTACGCGTCAAAATGCAGGAAACATCACCAGCGAGGAGGCTCAAGACTTCATTCGTCAGTGTGACATCCTGAAGAAACGAATTCAGGAGGTGGTGGCGGAATTGTCTAATGTTCACTTGATGACGCCGTGGTTTTGGCGTATGTACCATGCGGTCGTGCAGACTGTGAACGGAATGTCCCTGCGATTCAGTTTGCCACAGTATATTCCGGACATGAAGAAGAAGACCACCCCGATCTTATGCACTTACGAAAAGTGGCATAACATGGACCCAAAAATCCGAGGAGCAGCGCGGATTGTCCAGGGTAAACTCATCCTGGAGCTGGACATGCTGCGTACCCTGCAGAAAAACCGAGCGGAGATTAAAGCGATGCTGGTCCCCTTCCACCTATCCACACCGACGACAACCTTCCATATCCTCCCGGAGACCGCCCGCGCCATGGAGATCCTGGATCGTGCAGAACGAGGGAACCAGGATGCTGCCAAGCGGATGAAGGATGCGCGGGAGGGTTGGACGGACGCGGCGTTCGCGCTGAGCGATCTGGAGCGCCTGTGAAGTCAAGATGTACGGCAAAGCAGTGGATGGGATAGCGGTATCTTCGGAAGAACGACAAGGATATCCCCCTGGACACGATTACGCGGATGAGGCTCCCAAGGGGAGGTAGCTTGTGTTGTTGTTTTTCTTGTATTATGGGTTCCCGCGGACGGAAACCGCGTAAATGCGGGGGTAACATTCCATGAGTAATGTACGGCATTTATGTACTTATCTGGTAGAGTATATGCGTGTTTCTTCCGTTTTGAGCTTACTAATTGGTCGATTGTATGCGCCGTATAATGACGTCGGCGCTGTTTTACGTTTTGCTAACTTTCCCATGTATAAGCAGAGAAGTGATCATCTGTTTTGGATAGCGAAAGTCAGTCGAGACTAAAGTGATGTGTGAAATTGCAATTGCTAATAAGAACTTGTGTTATGAGAGCTCTCGTGTCTTCTGTAGCGAAAACTTTAGTGTGTGTACCTACCGGAAGTCACCAATCTGGATAACTACATCATCCAGATCTTATTCGTGCACGTAGTCGGATAGCTGGTAAAGTGTTTTGCTAGTTATCAGAGGATTAGGCATAAGAGGTAGTTCGTAGTGTTTATTTCCCACTTTATCTACTGAGTTAGGTTGGTCATCGAGTACGGTAGGTTCGACTGCCGTATAGCATGTCAGTATTGGTCCCGCAGTGAGTTACAGTGCATTACAATGCAAGTTTTGCATTTTCCAAAAAGTTTCTATTCTAGAGTTGTTTTGGATTTTTCTCACTCAGAACGCATATAAATGTAGGTAAAAAACATTCTGTGCTTGTTTCAAGCAAAAACGATCAAATCGGCTGCGCCCGGTAAATACCATATCATCGATAATCACAGAAAAATTCAAAATACAGAGGGTGCAGCAGCCAAATTGAAACAACTTCTCAGTATTTTTTTTTTCGAAGTGTACTGCACACATTTTTTTCTTAAACTTTAATATCTGAATGCCCGAACAGTCAGGTGTGTCTTAAACGTCACTAAGCGAACCTGCTATGCTTCTTTGACGAAGAAGAATTTCAAACGTAAGGCCATTGAGGGATGGGCAACAGATATGATTCTTATTCCATATGAGGTGCGTAGTAAAAATAGTAAAAAGTGTAGTCGAGGTGCATAGTAAAAAGATAAGTGAACAAATAGAAAGTGAAGCCATTACACACTAAAACATTAAAATACTACAAAAACAAACGTGGGCATCTCAATAATTTTTAGACATCTCGCAACGCAAAAAAGATACAAAACAACAAATTAATTGATCGAAGATAATTCGCTCGATAATATTTTTCAAACCAGTTTTTGTCCTTAAATAGATCGAAAATCGACAGCTGATAGGAGTCTCCCTATGTACTGTACTTCCACTCCCCCGTAATCTGGGATCTCTGGATTATCCTGGTAATAATGAACCTGCGTAATAATGATCGGCGCTGCCCAGATAATAATGTTCAATTTAGTGGACCCTTCGATATGAGATCAATGTTGACGCATCTGCAGAGCTTCATACTCGGAACACCTCGCAGATCCCGTATATAGCCAGTTTGCTCCATGTGGACAGATCCACAAACCGCAGGTCAATATCGTCCCATACTTTTGGTCTTCCATCCGAGTGAAAACCGCTGAATCTATCAAAGTAATACAGTATACGAAAGATTGAAAAGAACGTGGTAAATGCGCCTTCAAATAAGTCACTAAAAATAAGCACTTCCCTGCGCGAAAAAAACCTTCCGCTAAAACGAAGAAGTTCTGCGAGAGAGCTCCGCGAATATGTTTCTACATAGGTGATAAGAGACGCACTAGGGGAATATTGCGTACGCCGTACAGCACCTGCTCGTACAAGCTCGGGCTGTTGCACTCACATACAACGGCCATGCAGTGCAGCATTTAAGCCCCCCACAGACTTCGGCTTCATGCAGGTTTGAAGCTACAATAATGCCGTGAGTGTAGAACAAAACTGCATGCTGCAAGGCTCACGTTTTCATGCAAACGATTGTGAGGCAAACGTGTGAGTCGGTTTGTTTGAAGCTACCGAAGCACACATACTTTGTGATGCACCTCAAGCAAGCCATTAGCGAAGGCGGTCCACGGGCTGCCATTGCAGCCCAAAACGGCAGTAAGCACAGTCTGAGTATACAAACGTATATATACAAGTACATCAATGGCTATGAAAGTATCACTATATAACAATCGCATAAGCCTTGTGAGAAGAGAAGCGGCTCGTATACACCGACAAAGTCTTTCAAGGATTTTCAACACTTTGCGCCGTGGTGCAGTGGTACTGCCTACGCGGATCTAACGACGTAGCCGGGGATCGGTTCCCCCAATGACCCCCATCGGTGCATTTAGCCGTTTCTCGGTTTCCCTCGGATGGCGCCCTGCTGAGAGCCTTAACAAAATTCCCACTTTGTCGAGTTCGCCAGCCAGATCCACTGAACCAAACTTCCCGTCAACGTATCATTAGACAGCCCTTACTGCGTAGATTTGCCATCGCAAGTAAGTTTTTAGACAAAAAAAAATTGGAAAGAGAATTTTAAAAAACTGTAACACAGAAAGCCAATGGGAAAAGTCGAAAATCCACCACTGCAAAACTGACCACCCACCACTGTCTCGACAGCTAAAACGCGTTTTGGCCAACTTTGCTGGGATGGGAGGAAAGTTCTTGAATCATGACCACGTATTATTCCGTAGTCTTGATTCTTGAATGAAATTATAAATTTTTCATAAGCAATGGCGTCAAAAAAAAAGGAAATGTTCAAGTAGGAAAGAAGACCTAACAAAGTCTACGAGGCTCAAAACTGTTTCTCAATGAGCTACCGTTCGCAGAGGTATGACCAGTTTAAAGGCAACGTTTCCACGGGCGGTTGCCATTTTTACAGATATGCCGTTGAACTGTTGAAGGCAAAAATTTGCAATGACTTCCGACTCGCAAGTTGCGATTGCTGTTAAATGTTAATTTGTTTTCTATGGAATATGATGTCCGAAAAAGATGGTACTGCAGGTTTAGGGAGGATAATATTGTATGTTTGTGGTCTAGGGACAGCAACATACATACAGAGTAGCTAACAAGTTTTTCATTTGAGTGATTGCTTAGTAGTTAGTTGCTTTGCGGTCGTTAGGGGCGTTACCCAAGGGAATGCTTCTTTGCTGAAAACGAGAGAATCTGCGAAACGTGAAACAATTTCGTTAGTTTTTCAGAGAAGGCGGAGCCGCAGGCGACGACGAGCTGCGGCGCGAGCGGAGCTCGCGTAACAGCAAACGAGGCAACCTACATACTTTACATCTCCTAGTAAACGAGCGACGAAAGAAAATTAAAATATTACAATATTACAATGGCTGTTCATGTTTTATAAAAAGTAATTTACCGTTAGTTGCGTTGGGAATGCAAAGCAACAGAAAATCAATTGAAAAGCGGAAATTTTTTTTGGTAATTTGATTGTCAGGCGGGAGTGTTTGATCCAGTCAGTACTCAGTAGTATTTCTAGACTGCCACTGTACTGACTGTAGGACTTAAATGCCTAATGGCATCTGTAGTCTGTACAAGTACATTGAATTCGAAACAGCGCGGCTGAGCGCGCGAATCACGATGGTAAAAATCAGCAGGTATGTAGATGATTTGTATTCAAATTACATAGCTACTATTTTGTAACAGGACAAATAATCTGAAATTTTAAATGATACGAGTAGTTAATTAGTTGTTTACTCATACTGTTGTGGTGCGAAGGATTCGTTCTTTAGAGCTAAGTCGAAAGCCGGTCCATTTCGAGAAGAAAATTGGAAATTTTCATATACATACTCATGAGCCCTGTCTAGGGTTGTCCTGGCAGTCCAGAGACATCATAATACCAGTAACATAATAATTCTATGATTTCCTCATATCTGTAGAAGTAGTTGAAAACAGTTATTTTTTTTACATTGAATTATTCATTTTTTATTTATTCCTACTAGTATAGAGATATATAAGTACAAGTATCGGTCGCGCTAGCGCGCGACCAGTTGTGTTCGAGGTATGGAAAAATGAAAGAAATACAAAATATACTTTGTACAGAAATAAAAAAGATTTTGAGAAATATTTCAAATATAAAACCCCAGGGAGGCCAGCTACGAAAATATTTTAAACATGTGGAAATGCGGACAGTTTTCAAGCTTTCCGGTTAAATTCGACCAGTTTATAAAACCTGAAAGCCTCCGTAATTTTTCTTTTTGTTTGCCTTTTTCACGGTTCTTTTTCCCGTTTTTAATGCAATTTTATATTGCCGATTCTAACGAACTGAAAACCTGTATTTATTGGTACGACAGATAATATTTAAACGGTAATAAAATGGATGGAGTGGGATCATTTACACGATGCCCATAAAAAACCGTTCAGCCGATATTTCAGCGCAGAAAAACTGGTGGGAAAAAATTTACGGTTTCCCCAGGTGACCTCGCAGGCTGCATGGAAGATTGTAAGATTTTCAGCCATATCTATATCTCAGATTTTTTTATCAGAATAATGCAATATGTTACAACATGGTTAGAACACAGGCTGTTTCTCTGGAAATTTGCAAATTAGTAAGCACCCGAGCGTGAACCCGCCCATGTTAGCCCAATGGCATCCATGGTAACAAGCTTTTGAGTGACCACTGGACTTGAGGTTCTGTAAATTGCCAACGACGACTGGTCTTAGAACACCCGCATTATCGGGAGGTTTCTAAAGCATTTTAAAGCAGAAAAACTGGATGAGTAGAAGCTGAGATCACCGGCGCCAAAGGAGAGAGGCCGAAATCCTGGCACAGATGATTAGTATTCATATAACCAGTTTACGGGATCTACATCCGTGCACAAACTTTTGCGGCGCACGTTTGTTACGCAATGCACACTTCGCAAAGGTTGATTGCATTGGTCCCAGCCGCCAAGAAAACTACGAAAACTAAGAAAGAACAAATCTAAGAAAACTTCAGAAACCATAAGGAAGCCGAAGAAACCTAAGAAAACAAAGAAATCCAAGAAATCTAAGAAACCTAAGAAACTTAAGAAACCTGAGAAACCTAAGAATACCTAAGAATACCTAAGAAACCTGACAATACCTAAAAAAACCTAGGAAACCTAAGAAACCTAAGAAAACCTAAGAAACTTTTGAAACCTAAGATATCTAAGAAATATCGTATATGAAAGAATACGAAGTATACCGATCACGCTGGTGGGATTGACTGTGATTAATTTTTGCTTGTGTTTCCTAAATTTTCAATACTTTGTAACGTGCCGATGCCGAAGGCCGCGGTCTGTCTCGGTTTTTCCGAACGGTCCGCAAACAGACAATGTATTTACCATGTATGTCTATGGGGGCCCATGGCAACAATTTGTTTTTTGGGGCTACTCCTTCCGTTTTTGGGCGTATCGATGGCGCAATAGCGTAAGAACATTCGCGCCGTTGAGACAAATTTAACGCACTTGGCCGCGTCGAAATCGGTTCAGCCGTTCACCCAAACATTGGCTACATTATCAATCGTGTATACGTGGTTACGGATGTAGATAATAACCAGTTCACGGAGGACTACATCCGTAGCTAATTCGGCGGCGTGAGGTTTCCGAATCGGTTTCGTATTTCGGCGATTCATTTTCGTTTCTGTTCGTGCCGTAGCCGGTAATGTGCTTTACGTCACTGAGAATTGTTCTTAACAATTTGCATTATTACTGTACTACACTGTTTGGAGCGAAGTCCGAAGCCGAGACGTGCAGGCCCATGGCAACATTTTGTTTTTTGAGGCTCCGTTTTCCCCCTTGAGGCGCACCCGGTTGGCAATAGTGCAAGATTACCCGCGTGGTTGCGACGATTCTGGCGCACTTGACCGCGTCAAAATCGGCCTTCCCGTTTGGTCAGACATAGGAACATTAGCCTATGCCGTCATGGTTGTTACGGATGTAGTTAACCAGTTTACGGAGGACTGCATCCGTAGCTAATTCGGCGGCGTGAGGTTTCCGAATCGGTTTCGTATTTCGGCGATTCATTTTCGTTTCTGTTCGTGCCGTAACCGGTAATGTGCTTTACGTCACTGAGAATTGTTCTTAACAATTTGCATTAACTACTGTACTACACTGTTTGGAGCGAAGTCCGAAGCCGAGACGTGCAGGCCCATGGCAACAGTTTGTTTTTTGAGGCTCCGTTTTCCCCCTTGAGGCGCACCCGGTTGGCAATAGTGCAAGATTACCCGCGTGGTTGCGACGATTCTGGCGCACTTGACCGCGTCAAAATCGGCCTTCCCGTTTGGTCAGACATAGGAACATTAGCCTATGCCGTCATGGTTGTTACGGATGTAGTTAATTAGATTTCGAGCTTAATGAATACCCAAGCTACCGCCAGTACTCTGTATTACAGAGCAACGTAGGTTAGTGAATGCCCAAGCTACCACCAGAATTACGAGGTACATAGCCGCTACGCGAGTGAATGCGGCAAACGGGCCGCGGGCCGGCTTTTAGATATTTAGAAATTACATATCAATTAGACAATTTAAGCCGTGCGATATTGAGATACTCAGATTTCTAGATATTTTTAAAATTTTGAAACTCTGGAGGCTGAGAAAATTAGAGGTAACGGCTATGGGCCGAGTCGAAATATTTAGAAATTCTGGAAATGTAAAAGCTCTGGAGCCGACTTTGGATAAATTTACAGTTATTTTGAGGTATTCAAAAGCATTTAAAAACATCTTAAAGGTTTCAAGAATTTAAAAAAGTAAATTTAAAGGTTTGATGTAACTGACAATTTTGAATAACCATTGTTTAGGTTGCTAAGTTGCGAAACCTGTATTTGCTCATTCGAGACGTTTCCAGAATTTACTGGAAATTTCTATGAACTTTAAACGCTAAGTACTGGAAGTTTAGAAGGGTTTTTTGAAAACGTTCCGGGAACCAAAATTTTTTCCAAGCAGGAGGTAGGAAGCTTTGGGAGATGCTGGATTTTATAAAACTATCAAAAGCTTCACAAACGGAATCTCAAATTGGGAGATAATTTCCAAAACTAACAACCTTTAAGTACTAACAACCTTTAAGTACTACAGCTTCTAAAAATTTTTTAGACCTTCTCCAAAACTTAAGATTTTTTTAAATATAAAGGTAGGAACGTTTGTGCGATGCTCTATTTTATAAAATCATCAGCTTATTGAAAAAATCAATCTTGATTTAGAAGATAATTTCCAAAAAATAAGGACGTAAGGATATATGAATCTATTGATATCGAGATGATTGACTACGGTAGCTCAATATCGGTTGCCAACTCTGAAAGCAAAGGGCTCAAAGAAAATTCGTATACAAGCATTGACAAATACATTACAAAATAGCTCGAAGAAAGCAAAATCTGTCACCACTTACATAAGAAGGTAGTTGCGAATGCTCTGCCAGTCCTGGGGATAGGTGAGGGTACGCAGCCAGCGCGCACGGACAATTGAGACCTTCGCCACCATGTCCTGCGTTACCGGCGGAAAGTTGTTGTTCAAGGCACACATGAAGCGACTGGTCATGTGCATTTTTCCGTCTCTGCATGGCAGAATGACCTTCGGAATGGTTATTTGTAGTTTGTCAATGGCCAGTTCATGCGGCTCGCATGTGAGACGCACCATCCACTCCCGCTCGTGCGCTGGCAAAAGGCGAGAAGTCGCGCCGGGCTCATGTGACTCGTAGCAGGTGGACTCCTTCTCAAAAATGTCGTACATTTGTTCTCCGAAGAGGGCGGTAACTTTCCAGTTGTGCAGCAAGACGAAGTTGCAGTAGTGTTTGTAAGCAGTTAAATGGACCGCTATCCCATGCTTTAAACGTGCCTGCTTTTGTTGGCGAACTCTTTCTGGTTTGACGTTGGTGTGGTTTTTGAACATGAGAAACGGCAACTCAATTTCCAAGGCACGTAACATCGAACCCAAGAAAAACCCATACTGCGGCGGGAATACATTCAACAGCGTGAGACTTATTGTCGCTGAGCTAATTGAGCTGCTTAGTAGAGAAGCCACCTTAAAACAATTATCGCTGTCCGCCTTGAGTTGCCAACAGCTTTCGAGAGAAATGCTGACGTGCTCTATCATTCGAGAGCTGCTCAGCAGCAGCTGCCATAAGCCACACACCCTATCAAGAAACACGGTAAGCAAAGGAAGAATATCAACTACGCTTCGGCAGGCGTACAGATATAAGGTGCTTACAAACAGATATAAGGTCAAAATCTGAAACAGTGACTCACAATTTACCAGCCAATGACTAGGCTGGGTGTAAATGGTGGCAGCGGTTATCATCAGTAATGGGATAGGCTTTTTATCTTGTGGTCAAGATCTGTTTAAAGTTATTTTTATTGAGCACGGTCCACTACCGGACGTTGGAAACTTGGAGTAGCTGGAATCACTGGATGTGTGACCCGAACTGCAGTCACATTTCATGCGCTACGTTAAGTACGTTTTGTGCTGTAATCAGTGATATCCTGCTTTTCGGCATTGCAGGACTCACTCATTGCATTGGCGTGCGCGGTCCCGGTAATAGAGGAGAGTACAAAAAAATCAGTTTTATGAAGATTTTGTTCGTTTTATATTGATTTTGTTGATGGCACAATCATTTTCAGTTGTTTCAGTATTTCTCTGCAAGGTTGTCATGGTTTACCGGCTGCTAGCCGCGAAATTTCACATGCCAATGCCGGTGGCAGGTGGAACTGCCACTTTTTGCACCCTGGCGCCCGTTGACTGCCATAATTATTTTCTATTACTTAAGTAATAGTATGCAAGTACCACTCGCACCAGCCGTCGGGTGATTTGTCTTCGACGGAGCCGCTACATAGATCAGGTGGTTTAGACGGATTGCGTGTCCCTTGTCCTTAAATCTCATAAACAGTCTGACCAGGACCAGTCACTGGCTTTCCCTTAAGAAAATTTCAGGTTTTGTCGGTAGGCAGTATATGTAATAGCAATATTTAAAAAAATAGTTTCATCGGCAATGGTCCAGTGGGCGTGGCCGAAAACCAATTTAGAGGATCATAATATTTTGTTAAGTACTGTATATCGTGTGCACTGGTAATGTATCACTTGCACATTACTTCTACGGGAAGTGTTTCGCCAGTGAAAGTATCTGTATACATGTATCGCATTTCCTAGGTGCAGTGTTATGACAGTATGACTGTTATCAGTTTGCCTCTTCACTTTTTTCTTTTCTCATAACTGGCTTGGCAGTATAAAATGTTTATAGAGTCGATGACAAGAGCTTATTTTAGCAATCCCTGTACTTGCGCCATCACCCGGCTGGTGTTTACGTTGCGGCTAGACATGGCGCTTAGGTACCGGTCTGATTAAACCATATGTACAGAGGGTTATTCAGCCAAGTGTGGACACTTTTTGGGAAGTTTCTCCTTAGCCGTCGCACGCTTATTTTACTTTTTTAAAAATTTTATCAGGTAGCCACAACATCCAGTCATACTTTAAATTCAATCGAGTCACGATTTTCTCATCCTGTAGCTCAGGAAAAAATTAAATTTGTCCCCCCCATGTTGGCAACAGTTGACCAGTTCAGCTATAGGAAAGGGATTCCCTTTATTCAAAATTCATCTAAAATTTGGATTTTCGCCATAACCCGTTGAAAACCTGTCGGGGGTTTCGAACAATCCTTTTTCTGAAGGAATTACTAGTATTAGAGGACTGGGAAGCTGCATCCTTGTTTACTCAGCAGTGCTCCCGGGAGCACGTCTCGGGTTCTGGATGACTTCTTCTTCCCTGCTAGGCTTGATCCGTGGAGCGTCTTTCTCGACCAATGAACATTGTAAACGGTAGAGAAAGACTTGTTTTACAACTTTAGTTTATGGAGGGACGGAAAGGATAGCTATAGCTGCGTGCATAAGAGTTCGCGCAATGGGCATGGCTCCTGCGGGTCTCTTCCTGTTTTCGCGCTTTTTCCAACCGTCCTACCGCAAGAACGCGCAAGAATATGAAATCGTTCTTGCTATAAAAAATATTCGGATCGTCGTTTTTCGCAATTAAAACCATGCAGATTGGAAAAATTGACGATCCTTTTAAGGCCAGGTGACCGAAAGCCAAATTTTGACTGGTCAAGGGTTAGTAGTCGGCGACTTTTGGTTAACAGACAATATCGCGAGCATTTTTCGCTGGATTTTCACCAAAATTTGCAAAAAGCATTCAGATTAGTTAGTCGTCATATTGAGATGCTTATGGCATCATTTCTTTCAAAATGAAATTTCTAAGGAATTTTTTTTCGAAGTGTCCACACTTGGCTGAATAACCCTCTGTATAGCCGCAACATCCTACTCCAGCCGGGTGACAACAGCAAGTACATACATAAGGAGTGCTGAAACAAGCCCTTATCATCGCCTCGTATTGTTGCGAGGGATTAAAATTTTAATCGTATCGTATTGCATATGAAGCCGAGTATACGCGGCTTCATATGCACTACGATTGTATCTTAACTCTTGATTAGTAAGAGTGTTACTAGCTTTCTTTACTGTTAATTGGTTGTTGTATTACGAAGATCAGAATTCTTAAAATCCTACATTTTACCGACCGCATCTCACGGTCAGAAACATTTTAAAATTAGTTCCGTGCTTCTTGCCCCGTGCATGCAGCAAACTTATGCACTACTTGCCCCTCAATCTTGCTTTGCTAGCTGAATCTTGCTTGTGTACTTGCTAATACTGTGTTGTCGAGTAAACTCTTGCGATGGCCTAGCGTTGTGTTGCTTAAGGGATTTGGCCCGGTACACAGCACCAAATTCGTGTGCATCCGCGGGAACTTTCGCTGTCGCGCACTCCCAAACATTTTTTTGCATTGCTTTATGATATTTTGTAGCCGAAAAATTTGTATACATAGGCGTGAAATCCGTTTTTGCGCGCAACATCCAGGTCGGAAGTTATGGCTGTTAGAAAATTCCATAAAGTTTAAATGCATTCAGGTGTACCAAAAGTCTCATTATGGACCGATCCCTTTCAAATTTTGCACGTAAATGCGCATAACCATAAAGAGCATTTTTACACCGATCCATGGTTCTATCATGTTTTTAAAATTTTAAAATAAATTTCAAAAATTTTAAAATTCATTTTAAAATTCGAACAAAATCGGGAAAGTCTGGATCAGTGTAAGAACGATCTTTATGGTTATGTGCATTTACGTACAAAATTTGAATGGGATCGGTCCATAATAAGACTTTTGGTACACCTGAATGCATTTAAAACTTTTGGAATTTTCTAACAGCCATAACTCCCGAACCGGATGTTGCGCGCAAAAATGGATTTCACGCCTATGTATACAAATCATTTGGCTACACAATGTTAAAAAGCAACCCAAAAAAGTGTTCGGAAGTGCGCGAAAGCGAGTATTCCCGCGTATGTACACGAAATCGGTGCTGTGTACCGGGCCAAATCCCTTAACTGCCATGGGATGATAGTGCTCCCACCGTTGTCACCTGTGTGAAACGGTAGTCAGTTTTCGTCAGCATCGCTGCCGACCGCCTTTCCCCCACTAACGGCCGACAGATATGGTACGGTGGATTAACGAACCACTAGAAAGTAGTCGAACCGGCTACTGTTATAAGAATTACCATGCTAACACTTGTCGGCTTAATATCTAGAGTCTGCCATTTATTCTACTAAACTCGCAAATTGCGCGGAATGATTAATACGATTTCGGAAAACCGCATTAAAACCGCATTTCGGATGCGCGGAATAATTTCGGAAAACCGAATATGGCCTTGAAAAAGCCGTACCCCAACATAAACAGATCACTGTCTTGCAAGAGAAATAGGCAAGTGCAAAGATGCAGCGTACCGTTTGGCTTTCATCCGTGAGTGTAGGTCCAGATGCGATAATATGTCGCTCACAAGCGAAGGCGTTAAATAGGAGATACGGGCAGTCAACATCAGTGCATCAAATTCGACATCTAACGAAAAAATGTATATAAATCACCGTTATCACTACCATAGATAATCGCTGAAATGTAACAACTTTAGAAGCTTAAAGTGAAGGTCAGACCATGAATTTCTATTAGTTCCTGGGTATTGTACTTTATTTCCATGGCACGATAACAATATCAAGGTCTATTTACGATTAAAAGAAACAACGTTTTCAACAGTACCAATTATAGAAGCAGCGTTACCCGTTGAATTGCCAAAGAAATATTCTGTTTTAAATACTCGAGGCTACGAATTTCGCCAGTTTGTAGCGAAATTCTCTTCCCAATCTCATTAACCAATCGCTTGGCAGATGTACCAAAACTACCGAATGTCTCGAAGCCGACAGCGGCAAACTCGTATCGTCCTGTCAGAGTAAGAATATTAGTTCCTTAAAGCCACCAAACTGTTAGGGCATGTATCGTGTTAATAAATGTCATCCACCTTGAAAAAAATCCGGTCTGAAAACAATGGGTTCTTAACCAGAATAGTAAACAAACATCTATAAACCACGGCAGGCGCATGATTTTCCCTCAGACGGATCTCAGTTGCGCAGCTGCTCTGCCATCCTCATTCAGCGTTGCCGCACCCGACGGAATTATTATACGAGTAAGAATATTGTACTTCTAAGGCAGCTATAATTTCAAGGATAAGGTTTACATTTTATAACAAACAGTCGGCTTACCGGCTTCACGAAGGACATATTCATTTGCCTGTAATGCTCGATTACGAATAGGTGGTAGATTGGCGCGACCGGCCAGATGTGTTTTCAGGATTGTCGGCAAGGCTTCAGCTATCCAATGCCTCTGTTCTACGTCCGTTGCAAGCATGACGATGATGAACATGCAACCCCCCGATTCGATGCGCAGATGAAATCTGCAGCCGTCAGCCAAATACTGACCTCTTCGTAAATGCATTCTGGCTCGAAGAGCATCTTGAAGGTGCTTGATGATGCGAAATTTATCGGAAGGCTCGCTGAGAACGGTTTCGGGTTGGTCAAATGGTATGAAGTATTTGGCATAGTGCAAACATTTGCGGCGGTCCAGCACTGCCGGACCGCTAGGTGGCAACGCACTTGCCACTTGGTCTGCGTGGACCAGCTCGAGACGAGCTTGGTGGGCAGCGGCGTCGCTGCTGAAACGTTCGGTTTTAACATAAAACATCCAGCAGCACAAGTCACAGCCCGAAAGTGTGTTTAGTAAAACGGCTGATCGAAATCGAAACGGACCATTATCTTCATCACGCAGAGCCGCGAATATTTCAACGTTGTGGTAACCTTCCCTGATACAAAGCTCGGTGTCCCAGTACGATGGCAGAGGCCAGACGTCGCTTAAGTGCATCCAGCGATCTTCCGTTAATGTTGAGTTAAAATGGATAAACGCGTATTCGCCGTCAATATCCTGGACATATCCCAGCCACCAAGCGTCGTCACGGCCACGGACGACAACAGTGTTACGATAACTGACTTGATTCGCTTTCGTCAGTAGCGATCGGTACCGCGGCATCCCTTCCAACACTTCAGAAGGGGTCTGAAAATAATAGAATTTACAATATGATGGCAAATTGCGACTTGAAAAATAGTAAAGTTATTTCGATCGTTTCTATATATAGAATAAGAATAAGATTAACAGAATAAGATTTTCGAAATTTGCGTATATTCGTGAGCTGGTGTTCTCCCATTTCGCCAACGAGACATTTCGCCAACGGGACATTTCGCCAAAATCAGAGTTAATATTTTTACACCCAAAAAGGTGCAGAATCTTACCCGATAAAGCGAGATAATTAACATCATGCCCAACCGAACATTTCGCCAATCGTAGCTTTTCTTATTTTCTTAGGTTTTTTTAGGCTTCTTAGGTTTTAGCTTTCTTAGGGTTCTTAGGCTTTCCCAGATGTTCTTAGGTTTTTTAGGTTTCTTGGTTATTTTCTCGTGGTACAATTTCGATTCAAACTGTTTGTGATATTTTTGATTCGAACTGCTGCGAAATATTACATAACGAAATGTCCGGTTATCGAAATGAGTGGGAGCCGGTAAGCTCGAGGTTCGCCAGCAGATACATTAAACCAAACTTCAATAACTGCATACCATTCGATTTCCCTAAGGGTTGGTCTCAGATTCAAAACGAATCTTGATATGGTACGGTTTGGCTTTAGCAATACTCGTACTTGTAATGTAATGCCCAATATGATCACGACTAATAGTCTAATACCCATTCCGCATATACAAAGAACAATTAAATCACAACGCAGTACACTCACTCAGCAGAAAACAGCCTCGAGAGTTCTGAAAACAGAGAACAACTGATCTAAATTTGCTCTGGGCGGAGTTGCTTCCTGAACGGATGCCGCGTTCCCGCGCTGGATTTCCATGCTGGTCCGCTGGGCCCCCGCGGACCAAGCATCAGAATTTCTACCCCAGCGGCTGGGTAGAAATTCTGATGCTCGTGCCTCGCCGGTTTCTTACCGTACCCTGCTACCCACTTCGGTAAGCAGGCGGGTAGCCTCCTGTCCGTTGGGTCCTAGCGTCTCGGAGCCCAAAGAGCTAAACAAGTAGTCATGAGTGATGTTCTGGTACTTGGCTATCTTATCGTGTTCGGCCTTTGCCGCCGCTGCTTCAGCTCGCTTGGATGTTGCCGCGATATGCGATAAGGCCACTTGCAGACGCATGTCACATCCCAAGTCAGCACTATTCCTCTCTCCCACGGAGCCAACGTGATGCCATCCGGTCGTTTGCCATTCGTTCGGCATGGGTAGACACGGGTGTTGACTCCGTGCACGAAGTTTGGAAACGGCTGATGGCTGCGTGCACGGGCAATTTATTTAATTTAAATTTATAAAATTAAGAAAATTAAATTCTGCAGTATTTTGTTCTGTAATACAGTAGCCAGTAACGAACACATTGTAGCTTTTCGAAGACTTTTCAGTTGCACTCCATATACACGATAACCATAAAATCGATACGCCATTTATCTGAGAGGAATACAATACATTCAAGGTGACCACTACACTACACGGCCGGTAAATAATTACAGCAAATTTTTGCTATGATTAAAAGCAAATTTAACGTCGGCAAATTAGTATGTCATCGTCTAGTATGTCATTGGCATGCAGTTAATTATGTACTGAAACTTGAAGGGTTTATTCTCCTCAGAACACGACATCCCAAACAATCACCACCATCCAGAAAAAAAACTGATCCTGTAATAATATCGGCAATGGCTGTCTTGGCAGTTTTGCAGAAAGTTTTTTTCATAACCATTTATGTGGCATTCGGCGAAGGCAAGCACTGCTCCTTAAAGTTTCAGAGAGATTGCGAAAAGCGATGGATAAGGGGCAAATCACTGCTGTATGTCTGTTGGACTTGAAAAAAGCGTTTGACTCAGTCTCCCATGCCAAACTTATCGAAAAATTAAGGACGATCGGAATTGAAGGTAACGTGCTGAAGCGGTTCCATGGTTACTTGACGTCTTAACCAGTCGTTAGCAGAGAGTGAAAATGAGCGCGCGTGTTTTTGACTGGCCTACAAGTGCGGTAGGGGGTGCCACAAGAGACAATGATGGCGCCAGTACTCAGTACTGTACATGCTTTATACGAACGATATGACGAACGGAAGCGACGCAGAATATTAGATTTCATTAGAATATTATTCATTAGATTTCACATGGTTTAGGCACCGTACACTAGAAACAAGCTGAGCACGGATGAATATCGCCTTGCGACTATTTCAGAATTTTGCAACATGGTTAGAAAATAAGCTGGTATGTTGCAACATGGTTAGAAAATAAGCTGTTTCCCTGAAATTCACCAGAACAAAAACCCGCCCATGTTAGCCCTATGGCGTCCATGGTAACAAGGTTTAGAGTGACCACTGGTCTTGAGGTTAGGCAGATAGTAAACAACGACTGGTTTTAGAACACCCGCGTGATCGAGAGGTTTCCAAAACATTTTAAACAGAAAAATCGGATGAGTAGAAGCTGAAATCACCAGCGCCAAAGTAGAAGGGCCGAAATCCTGGCACAGATGATTAGTATTCATATAACCAGTTTACGGAATCTGCATCCGTACACAAACTTTTGCGGCGCAAGTTTGTTACGCAATGCACACTTCGCAACGGTTGATCGCACTGGTCCCAGCCGCGAAGAAAACATCGAAATTTAAGAAAGAGAAAATCGAAAAAATTTAAGAAACCCTAAGAAAGCCTAAGAAACCTAAAAAACCTAAGAAACCCAAGAAACCTAAGAAACCTAAGAAACCTGAGAAACCTAAGAATACCTAAGAATACCTAAGAAAACCTAAGAAACCTAAGAAACCTAAGAAACCTAAGAAACTTAAGAAACCTAAGAAAACCTAAGAAATCTCAGATATCTAAGATATCTAAGAAATATCGTTTATGAAAGAATACGAGGTATACCGATCACGCTGGTGGGATTGACTGCGATTAATTTTTGCACATGTTTCTTAAATTTTCAATACTTTGTAACGTGCCGATGCCGAAGGCCGCGGTCTGTCTCGGTTTTTCCGAACGGTCCGCGAACAGACAATGCATTTACCCATGTATGTCTATGGGGCCCATGGCAACAATTTGTTTTTTGGGGCTACTCCTTCCGTTTTGGGGCGTATCGATGGCGCAATAGCGTAAGAACATTCGCGCCGTTGAGACGAATTTAACGCACTTGGCCGCGTCGAAATCGGTTCAGCCGTTCGCCCAAACATTGGCTACATTATCAATCGTGTATACGTGGTTACGGATGTAGATAACCAGTTTACGGGATCTACATCCGTACGTATTGTCGTGGCGTGCTTGAGTTTCGAAAATTTTAGTTTAAAGAAACAACGAATTTTCTGAGCGTAAGAATTGCAAGAAGCCTTGAAAACGTAAGAAACACAAGCAACTTAAGACAGCCTAAGAAACCTAAGAAATCTAAGAAATCTAAGAAACCTAAGAAACCTAAGAAATCTAAGAAATTTAAGAAACCTAAGAAACTTAAGAACCCTAAGAAAGCTAAGAAACGAAACATAAAATACAGATTGCGGTAATCGCAAGCTTGATTACTAATATTATTTTGACATGGTTTTACGATTTTTATTTTGTATGCCGAAGCGATGCCGATGGCCGCGGACTGCCTCTGACGTTGCGACTGTATAAATGAATAGCCCACGTCCGTCTATGAGGGCCCATGGCAACAATTTCTTTTTGGGAGCCTCTGTTTCCCCGTTGGGGCGCATCGATTGAGCAGTAGCGCAACATTACCGGCGTCGTTGCGACGATTCTAACGCACTTTACTGCGTGAAAATCGGCCCAGCCGTTCGGCCAATCATTCGGAACAAAGCATACTCGTGTATAAGATGTTACGGATGTAGATAACAAGCTGAGCACGGACGAATATTGGCTTACGACTAGGTACTGTAAATAAGTGAGTTAGGATGTGTTGTTACTAGTAGTCGCAGAATTACGTCGTAGTATTACTGTTTAGTAAACTAGGCTCCGAGATTGACCAAACTATTGATACAGCTCAGTGCATTGGGCCGCAAGGTGCGACAGTGTCACAGTGATCACGTGAAATACTGCAAGAAACGCAGAGGAGAAGCCAAAGCTGTTTCATGTTTGAGCTGATTGAGTAGTACATACAGTGTACCGTGACCGTGGTAGCCCATGTTAGCCCTATGGCATCCATGGTAACAAGCTTTCAAGTGACCACTGGGCTTGAGGTTCTGCATATAGCAAACAACGATTAGTCTTAGATCACCCGCCAGGCCGAGCGGTTCCCAGAACATTTTAAAGCGGGAAAATTGGATGAGTGGGAGCTGAGATCATAGCGAACAAAGAGGAGAGGCAGAAAACCTGCAAGAGATGTATAGTATTCATATAACAAGCTGAGCACGGATGAATATTGGCTTACGACTGGGCAAATAAATTAGTTTAAAATTCATACGTTGCAGCGTTTTCGAGAAAGCAGTAACAATTATTTTTTTTTGTTTGAAAACAGTTGGTTTTTGTATAAGAAAACAGATTTTGTTCAGTTTATCGGATTTAACAAATGACAGGGAATGCTTTGCGGTCAACTAGCTGCGGTTGTTTCAGCTGAAGTTTTCCTTTTCCTATCGTTGGGCTTAGTGATTAGCCAACCTGTGGACGCTTGCTGTCATTGTCGGTTATTACTTAAGCAAACGGGGTCTATCAGTAGTATCTACTAATGTTCAGTTCTCAGATTGTTGACCTTTGTTGATAGAGTTTGTGTCGTTTTGTGGCTCGGCTGCTGTTTTTCTGTTTATTCTGCTAAACTCGCGAAACTGTAATAGCAACTGTAGCCCAAGAAGTGTAGCCAACGAAGTGTCGTTCAGTCAGCCCACGGAACATAGGAAACGCAGAGGCGCAGCCAAAGCTGTTTCATGTTTGAGCTGATTGAGTAAGTACAGTGTAATGTGACCGTGGTAACAGACTAGCCCATGTTAGCCCTATGGCCTCCATGGTAACAAGCTTTCGAGTGACCACTGGCTTGAGGTTTTGCATATAGCAAACAACGATTAGTCTTAGATCACCCGCCAGACCGAGCGGTTTCCAGAACATTTTAAAGCGAAAAAATTGGATAAGTGCAAGCTGAGATCATAGCGAACAAAGAGGAGAGGCAGAAAACCTGCAAGAGATGTATAGTATTCATATAACAAGCTGAGCACGGATGAATATTGGCTTACGACTAGGTACTGCAAATTAGTGATTTGGGTTTTTTTTTTACTAGAAGTCATAGAATCACGTCGTTCTATTACTGTTTAGTGAACTGGGCTGCTAAATGTGGGAGACTGACCGAACTGTTGATACAGCAAAGTGCACTTGGCCGAAAGGTGCGACAGTAATCAGGCGAAATAGTTCAAGAAACGCAGGGGCGAAGCCAAAGCTGTTTCATGGTTGAGCTAATTGAGCTCATACAGTGTAATGTGACCGTGGTAACAGACTAGCCCATGTTAGCCCTATGGCATCCATGGTAACAAGCTTTCAAGTGACCAATGGGCTTGAGGTTCTGCATATAGCAAACAACGATTAGACTTAGATCACCCGGCAGACCGAGCGGTGCCCAGAACATTTTAAAGCGAGAAAATTGGATGAGTGGGAGCTGAGATCATAGGGAACAAAGAGGAGAGGCAGAAAACCTGCAAGCGATGTATAGTATTCATATAACCAGTTTACGGAGGACTACATCCGTAAGCAGTTATGTGATAATACGGCGTCGGACGTGAATATGTTAATTTGTCAACGTTTTCCGGATAAATTTTGGTTTTTTACGCATGGAGGCCGATGGCCGAGGTGCGCCCTCTACTTCACACCCTGAAGTAATAAGCAGTCAACATAGTTTACAACACTTTGCTTTAAACATAATATGAGATCAATGTCTGAAGCCGAGGCTGACAGGCCCATGGCAACAATTTGTTTTTTGAGGCAACTGCTTTCCCCTCGAGGCGCATCGGGTCAGCGATAGCGCAACATCACCCGCGTCGTTGCGACGATTCTGGCGCACTTTACCGCGTCAAAATCGGCCTACCCGTTTGTCCAAACATAATTTTCTTAGCAAAGGCCGTCACGGCTGTTACGGATGTGGTTAACCAGTGTACGGAAATCTACATTCGCGCACATGCTTTTCGGCGAATGTTCTTCAAGAAGTTTTTCCATCGCTGAAACAAACCTGAGAAATCTAAGAATCCTAAGTAACCTAAGAAACCTAAGAAACCTAAGAAACCCAAGAAACCTAAGTAACCTAAGAAATCTAAAAAACCTAAGAAACCTAAGAAACCTAAGAAACCTAAGAACCTAAGACTTCCGAACATGTTTTTCTGGGAACATTACCCAAGAACCTAAGAAAACCTAAGAAGAAAACTAAGAAGCCTAAAAACCTAAGCAAATCTAAGAAGAAAACTAAAAAGTCCTTAGAAAACCTTAGAAATCCAAGAATTCTAAGAATTACGTAAATTGTAATTATTAAAGGTCGTGCGTGTTTAATTACAGGACAATTTAATTATAGGGAAATACCTAAGAATACCTAAGAAAACTCGGGAAATTTTAGTGTTACGTCGCGATTTTTCCCCGAACATTGTTTTTACCGAATGTTTTCGTTATGTGGGGTCGCAATTTCCGTTTTCTCAGTGGTTTTTTTCATTTTTTTTCGTGATTTTTTAACGAACGGATGCCGAAGTGCGCGGTGTACTCTGTCGCTTAGACTGTGCAAAGCCTTAGCCTATGTCCGTCTATGGAGGCCCATGGCAACAATTTTGTTTTTTTCGCCCCCTGTTTTTCCTTAGAGGCGCAACCCAACGGGAATATTGTATAAAAACATCCGCGTCGTTGCGACGATTCTAACACACTTTACCGCGTCGAAATCGGCTCACCCGTTCGCCCAAACATCGCGTTGGTCAGTAGTTCCTGTCATAACTGTTTCGAATGTAGATAACAAGATGAGCACGGATGAATATTGGCTTACGACTGGGCAAGTAAATTAGTTTAAAATTCATACGTTGAAGCCCATTCGAGAAAGCAGTAACAGTTATTTTTCTTTGTTTGAAAATAGTTGGTTTTTGTATAAGAAAACAGATTTCGTTAAGTTTATCGGATTTAACAAAAGACAGGAAATGCTCTGCGGCGGTTGTATCAGGTGAATTTTTCCTTTTCTTGTCGTTTGGCTTAGTGATTAGCCAACCTGTGGACGCTTGCTGTCATTGTCGGGCATTACTTTAGCAAACGGGGTCTCTCAGTCCAGTTGCTACTAATGTTCAGTTCTTAGATTATTGTCCTTTGTTTATAGAGTTTGTGTCGTTTTGTGGCTCGGCTGCTGTTTTTCTGTTTATTCTGCTAAACTTGCGAAACTGTAATAGCAACGAAGTGTCGTACAGTCAGCCCACGGAACACAGGAAACGCAGAGGCGCAGCCGAAGCTGTTTTATATTTGAGCTAACTGAGTAAGTACAGTGTAATGTGACCGTGGTAACAGACCAGCCATGTTAGCGCTATGGCCTCCATGGTAACAAGCCTTCGAGTGACCACTGGGCTTGAGGTTCTGCATTTAGCAAACAACGATTAGCCTTAGATCACCCGCTAGGCCGAGCAGTTTCCAGAACATTTTAAAGCGAGAAAATTGGATGAGTGGGAGCTGAGATCATTGAGAACAAAGAGGAGAAGCAGAAAACCTGCAAGAGATGTACAGTATTCATATAACAAGCTGAGCACGGATGAATATTGGCTTACGACTGGGCAAATAGACAGTTTAAAATTCAAAAGTTGCAG